TTTTGCCTCTAGTCTTTTCTGAACTCGCACATAGGTGCGTTTGGTGATGCTGGAGTCAGAGTAGGCAAACACTTTTCCTATCTCCTTGGACCATTTAGGGGATTTCATGGTCTTTTCCTCACGTTATTCCAGATTCTCACCAACACTTTTTTCCACATAGAAGAATGTGCCACAATTTAATCACTTCTTACACTGGGTTTTTAAGTTGTACCTAGTTTTTTGTATGATAATAAAAATGTTAGGAGTGGTTTCCTCATGAATGGAGACATTTTCTTGGTGCATTTTCTCCTCTCCCCCATGGCGTAACTTGCATGTTCTCTAGCATTTCATATACAAGCAGATTATTCATTATCTCATCAGTTGTGAGTTCCTTGAGAAAAATCAGCCATGCCTACACAAATTCTTGGTTTTATAAAGATTCCATCATTTTGCACCAACTCAGAACAGTAACACAAAAGAAACACAGCTCTATTGAGATGCGATTTACATGGTATAAAATTCACCTTGAGTGTACAACTCTGCTTTTTTTTTTTTTTTTTTGGACAAGATCTCTCTCTGTAGCACAGACTGATCTCAGATTCACTAAAAACAGCCCAGGCTAGCATTGATCTTCCTGTGTTTGTGTGTGTGTGTGTGTGTGTGTGTGTGTGTGTGTGTGCCATCACATGGCAATGTAACTCTAACAGTGACCACAAAGAGAAGATACTTCCTACCAGCTATTATCCATCCCCATGGCTATCCAAGTCTTTCTTTTTGTCTCTCTGGCTTTGCCTGCTCTGGCCATTTCATTGTCTGTAAATAGGATTTCAAGATAAAGGTGACTGTGACCACTGTGACCACTGTGACCGGCTTCTTTCACTTAGTGAGATGTTTCCAGGTGTGTCCATTCTGCGGCCCACGGGACTCCGAGAGTGATTAGAAAACAGCCCGGGCCTGCTCATTCTTTTCATTAAAAACCAAGACCATTTTGTGGTGCCTCTGACAGATGTGGCAACAATTGATTCTTCTGGGAACCCATCTCCAGCCCGCCCTGCCTCTTCTCCAGATCTCAGGATATTTTAACTCTCTCACCCTTCACCTCTTTCTCCCTCCTCCTTCTGGGCTAATTAAAAAAAAAAAAAAGGCAAGAAAGAGCCATCTCTTGTTTTTTAGCACATAGCTTTGTCTTCTGCATCTGCTGACTGGTCACAGGGAAACTGACCTTGTTCTGGGAATGAAGGTAGAGGGCTTCCTTAGGGTAATGCTATGCGAAAGGCAGGTAAGCATGTCTGCCCCCCTCCCCCCCCCCCTGCCACATGCATGGGTGAGCTCAGAAAACAAGAATGTTCTGAAACAATTCTGAAACATACTTTTACACAGCCACAGAACTCTAAGTTGGCCTGTGGGATATATATGTTCTAAAGTGGGATGGTGACATTCTAGAGATCTATTTGTTTGCAACTGTGCATACAGTGTGACTTTCCTTCAAGAAAGCAAGCCCACATTCAGTGACCCTGCCCTTGATACTTTGCACAGGGTCTGTCTTGTTTTCATTAGGATCCCCTAGAAGAGCGCACCCAAGGTGTCATGGAAGACAGTTTGCGGAATATAGTCAAGAAAGTTTCCTGAGAAGAAGACATGGCATATGTGCTAGGACTCAGGCACAAAGGCTGGAAAGAGAATTCTAGAAAGGAGAAAGTGCAGACATGCAACAGTTTGAGGGATGGCGCAGCATCTTTGAGTATGGTGACAGCTCAAATGGGAAAGGGAAGCCAAGAAGAGCCCTGTTAAGTGGTGGAGGCTGGTCCTGGCTGCCCAGAACCAAAATAATTGCACAGAAATTGTATTAATAAAATCACTGCTTGACCCATTAGCTCTAGCTTTTCACTGGCTAACTCTTACATATTAGTTAACCCATTTCTATTAATCTGTGTATTGCCACGTGGCAGTGGCTTACCGGAAAAGTTTTGGCATGTCTGACTCTGGCAGCAGCTCCATGGCTTCTCCCTGATTCCACCTTTCTTTCTCCGAGCATTTAGTAGTTTAGTTTTCTCTGCCTACTTAAGTTCTGCCCTATCAACACGCCAAGGCAGTTTCTTTATTCATTAACGAAGAAAGCAACACACAGACAGAAGGAACTCCCACACCAGTTAGGTTGCTTACTTTTTGCAGTAGAAATAGGTACTGTCTTCAAGCAAGGAAGGAAAAGGTGAAACCCGTACTCTGCACAAGTGTAGAGTAAGGCTCAAAAGCTCAAACAGACACTTGACATGAGGATTTGAGCAACTGGAGCGATGAGCAAATACTAGACCATCAAATTGCAGTTCCATTGATTTCTTATATTCTTGGTTGTGAACCTAGCCTTTAACAACTGAGCCATCTCTCCAGCCCCAATTCCATTAATTTTCTAAGCATCTTGGTAAGCACAATGTTTTCATGACTTATAGTCTACTAAACATTAAAAGGCATCATATATTAATTTGTTTGAAACTTAGTCAAGTATTTATTATTACTATTTTACTTCGTGTGTGGTGTGGGTGTTTTCCTGCATACATGTCTGTGTACTATGTGTATGCCTGGTGCCCCCAGAAGCCAGAAGAGGGCCCCAGTTTCCCTGGATTACAGATAGTTGTAAGACACCATGTGGGTGCTGGGAATCAAACTCAGGTCCTCTGGAAGAGCAGCCACTGCTCTTAACCACTCAATCATCTCCCTAACCCCGAACCAACAAATATTACATATTGCTTTAGGCTTCGATAACACAACAGTAAGTCAGACACACTTTCAGCCTTTGGACGTTTGCACTGTAGTGAGGGGAGACAAATAGAAAAAGAAAGAAGTGGAGATGAAAGTAGCATCAGCAGAAACTAGTGTGGCTAGCCACCTTGGAGAAAGCTTCATTAAAATAATGAGCAAGCACAGACAATGGCCACTTTCTGGCCAGCTACTTCCACTAGTCTCCTTACAAGTACAACAAAAGCGCAGTGGGTTTCAAAGCTACCTTCTCTAGAAGAGAATGGAGTTCAAAAGGTTTTATTACATCAAGGTAAGCCCAGGCTGACATGAAACTCATGATCCCCCTGCCTCCGCCTCCCAACTTCTTGGTCTACTTCAACAATGTTCCACTCCACAGGAGGAAACAGATCCAGCAGGAAGGTAAGACAATTCTCTGATAATTCTGGTTCCGGGTACTCAGTGTGGAAGTGCTGAGCCTGGCCTTGAGAGGTGGGGAGGCTTTCATGATGTCACCAGGAACTTTTCAGCCCCCTTGGAAGGATTGTTTTCGAGGGATGTGTTACTCTGCTGAGGGAGAGGGAGCATTTGAAAGGAGAGGCCGTGGGTGTGGAGGAATCACGGCAGAAGAAACAAATATTTATCCAGTCCTAGCAGGCAAGGCTTCGTGATCAGCAGACACTCTGGAAATGTTTGTTTGGTGACTAACCTTGTTGGGAGCAATTGAGTCCTGGCCTTCAGCTGCTTTTCCCTGTCTAGAGCCTTCTAATTGAAGTTAGTAGAAGCTGTGCTTTGCCTAGAGGATCAGAGGATGGGATTTTCACCTGTTGGCCATTGACTGCAGGGCGCTTAAGCCTCCGAGGTGCTACTAAAGAAAGGCTTTTGTACCAGCGATTGAAGGTCCGTGTGTCGGTCTGTCTCTGCGTGTGTTTCCTCAACCTCCAGACCCTTGCCCGAAGCTCGAGAACTGGGTTCTAGCGCATAGAGCGCAGTCGGGGGGCACAAGGTGCGCAGCAAACCTTCCTTCAGAAAAGGCTGTTGTGGCCATTTCACAGGTCAAGGAAGCAAGGACAGGGAGAGGGCACCGCTGTTGACAGAGTAAGATACAGACCCACAGGTGGTCACTAACAGGCTTAGGTTCTCTCCACTGTCTAGCTGTGATAAAGGTACCCGGGCGTCCCTCAAGTGTTCTAAGTCCGAGTGAAGGAACAGAGTGGACGCTATAGGCAGAGGCGAGCCTAGAAACAATAAAGGCTGGGCAGCCCTTAAGTGGCATCATTACCAGAACATGGTTTACCAGGGAAGCCTCTTAGGATCTCAGAGTCAGGGATTGCTCACCCCGTGTATTAGGAAGAAAAGTGTGATGGGGAGGAAGCTGGGGGCAGATGGAGTAGTGGGGTAGTGGGGTAGTGGGGTTGTAAGGCTAGAGACAGGAAAAGGTGTTCAGAGCTAATGTAGAGGATCAGGAGGTTGAGTCAGGAGACTGGCAGTGAATACACGCTAACGGGGCCCGGGGGTAGTGGAAGAAATGTCCCCACCCCTTGCTGATGGCATGGTGTCCAGGGAAAGGACGGGTGTAGGTGGTGCGCTGCTTTTCAGCGTCGAAGCATGGCACTGCCATCACCAAAATGGGCAAATCAAGAAGCGAATGTGGGTGGTAACAGTTTGTGGACTCGGCGAGCGAATAAGTCAACACGAGATGGATGCGTGATGGAGCGTAGGAAAGATGAGCGTCAACGCGAGATGGATGTGTGGTGGAGCGTAAGAAAAATGAGGGGAGAAAAGAAGAGCGACTGGAACAACACAGTGCGGGATTTCCAGGCTCTGAGGAGCAACTGAGGCTAGAAAGACGAGAAAGAGAGAGGAGTGACCCAGAGGAGGCGAGAGAGAAGAGAGACAGAGCAAGGGGACTCTGAAGAAGAAGCGTTGATGGGGGTGGGCACTATAAGGCCAGGGACGAGACCTGGAGAGGTGGAGGTGCCTGATGGGAAGAGGTGGCTGATGGGAACAGGTGGCTGATGGGAAGAGGTAGCTGGTGGGACAGGGTAGCTGATGGGAGGTACCTGGAGACCTCCCCGAGCTAGGCTTCCTGGGAGCTCGCAGGCTGAAGCTGTGGTGAGCTCTGGGCAAGGATAACTAGTGCGCTCTGGTCTCAGAGAGCTTGCCCAGAAGAGGGGAGCAGTGGGCAAGAAGAGTCTCAGGTTCAGCACAGAGATCTTTCTCTTCTCTCGGGGGCAGTGTAGTGATCTCAGTGGGTGGGGTGGGTGGTGCAAACAGTCCTGCCCCCCTTCCCCCCCCCCCCCGTTGTTTAAAGACTAGACTGCTGCACAGCTCTCATTCGTGGGCACGGCCTACTAACTAGTGATGCTCTCAAGATGGAAGCCAGGCAGCAGACTGGGCTTGCAGCAGAAGGCAGAACAGCTAGGCAGCTCTGTGACAGACAAACATAGCCCAGCTGAACTCAGCCACTGAAACCGTGAATTCAGGTTTCCAGCCCTGTGACATCTAAAATAACCAGTTTACACAGACAAAAAGGCCTTTTTTTGGCTCCTAGGTTTATTTTGTTTGCTTGCTTCAGTTCGTGATTGGTTGGTCAGGTCTGGGGTATGTGCATGTGTCTGCATGTATGTAGGTATGTGTGTGTATTGTGTGTATGTTGTGTGTGTGTGTCTCTTCCTTAATTGCTTCCCACCTTATTTTTGGAGACAGGGTTTTTCAGTGAATCAGGAGCTCACTGATTCGGCTAGACTGGGCAAGCCTCAGGCTCTTCCTGTCCCCTGGCATCAATGCCGTATTAGATATTAAGCTACTAAATGTCCATCTTTCTTTTTAAACTTGGGTGCTAAACTTGGGTTCTGGGGATTGAACTTGGGTCCTCGCGCTCACATGACAAACACTTATTGATCTCACCAGCCCCAGCTTTTGCTTCTGAGCTCCTGGTGAGTCAGGATAGTGTGGCTGCAGTGTGAAGACTAAGCAGAGGAAAGAGGGTGGCAGAGCAAAACCACTCACCTCATTGCCAGGAGAGGGGACGGAGGGAGCCCCTCGTTATGCCCTTAAACAGCATGCCTCAGTTGTTGGGGACCAGTCCTGACAAAAATACTTCTTGCCAGGGTAGAGGTGTGGGGATTTAGAAATATAGCGAAGAATATAAAGACAGGAATGAAAATAATAAAACAGAGAAAAATATAGGATAGCATCAGGAGGGAACTCTAGTGAGTACTGAAATTCACCCTTACTTAATTTCTAACTGCTTAAAATACCCCTGACTCCAAAAGGTAGGAGTAAGACAAAAAACTGCGTTAACTTACCATGAAACAAGGAACTGAACATACCAATTGAAGGTCGCGGGCCACCATAGTTAAACGGTCTGTTGTTAGAACAAAATAAGTCACGCTCACACCCTAGACCAAAACAGTAGGCAAACCACTCTCTGGGTGGAATCCAGAGTTATCTCCTTAAGGGAACTGGAACTTAGTGGGATCCTTAGACTTTTTGTTTGAGGTAAGAACACATCTACTTCTCTATTCCTGAAGCACAAAGGCTGGCTATGAGCCGCCCCTAATGACAATAACCTTGAGAGAACGGAACTCTCCGCTCTAACTCTAGGTAGGATCTTTGTTTGAGGCGGAAACACGATAACCTTGAAGAAACTAGAGGAAGTCCCGGCTCTCTGACCTTTGGTTGACAGGGAAATGGGCTCACGTTTCCTGGACCTCCTCACTCAGCAACCTAATTTCCTCACACCTCTCAACAGTGCCCTGGCCTGGGACCTTTGAGGGACACTGAGGATCTAAACACCACCAGTAAGTTACATAATAACTGTGACCTGGTTTCTTCATCTTCACACAAGGCAGGAAATGGCATCACCCATGAGCATCATCCAAGTCAATCCAGTTGCATAAGACGTGGTGGTACACTGTGCAGCCCCGTGGTCGCGTCAGCTCTTACTGTCGATACTTCAGGTTTTCTGGATTCTGTGCCTCCGTGTTGAGAAGGTCCTGGGGGTGTAGCCTGGAATTGACCCTTGTATTGCCACTGCACAGGTCACTGTAGTGATTCAGACTGTTCATCAGCAGGATGTGCTTTTAGTGTTGTATGTAACAGACTCTGCAAATGAGTATTTGCTTTTGAAGATCAGCAAGAAGCTGTCCTTAGATGCAAGGACAGTGATCTCTCCTGAGGAGTAATAAGGAAGAAGATTTCTTTTAAAATCACTTGATGTTATCAGACATGGCCAAAGCCAAGTGTGCCTACTGAGAAAAAGCAGCCAATTGCACCATGGGTGAAGGTTGGCAGGCTGTTTCATGAGCACAGCATCCTAACTGCACAGGAGAGTTACAGGCACAGTTCCTACCTTATCCTAAAATATATCCAAAGCCAAAAGTGAAGCATCCAGTACAAGGTACTATTAAAAATATCCGGGCAATGGTGGCACATGCCTTAAATCCCAACACCAGGGAGGCAGAGGTAGGTGGATCTCTGTGAGTTCGAGACCAGCCTGCTCTATAAGAGCTAGTTCCAGGAGAGCTAGGGCTTTTATACAGAGACACCCTGTCTCAAAAAACAAAAACAAACAAAAAATAACCTTTCACTGGGGCACAGTGGCTCACGCCTTTGATACTAGCACTTGGAAGGTAGAGGCAGGAGGGTATCTATGAGTTCAAGAACAGCCTGGTCTACATAGTGAGTTCTAGAACAACCAGGACTATATTGAAAAAAAGTCTTACCTCAAAAGCACGTAGATAGATAATAAGTAAGTAGTCTTTCATCTTGACTACACTTTCCACTACAAAGCGTCCTGTTATTTGGACTTGCTGTACCACACTGCCACCTGCTGGCCAGCATTCAGTATCACTTAGGTCCTGGTGACCACAGTGGTTTCATTTTTAGGAGCTACAGTATGATCATTGATACTCCGGGGCAGGCTCAGACTTTGAGGAATTTGTGGCTCACTCAGTTCTAAGGGTGCTCTCAATCTCTCTCTCTCTCTCTCTCTCTCTCTCTCTCTCTCTCTCTCTCTCTCTCTCTCTCTCTCTCTCTATCTCTCCTCTCTCAACCACAAATACAAAACCAGGTGTGGAGAAAACATTTCAGAGTAAGAAAAGGAAATTACAGTAAGTTATACATTTCCAAAGACTGGTAACTACCACAAATAGCTCAGAGAGACCATTTTAAACAGATGAACTGTCTCATACACCTAACTATCTTTCCCCCATATTAAAACTTCTTTGTCTCTTCATTTAGAAGATAATATCCAGGCTGGAGAGATGGCTCAGTGGTTAAGAGCCCTGAGAGTTCTGTTCCCAGAACCTAAATTGGAGGACTCATAACGGCCTGTAACTCCAGCTCCAGGAGATTTGATGACGCCCTCTTCTGGATTCTTCAGGCATCTGCACTCACAAGTGTGCATGTTCACATACATACTTAAACATAAAATAAATCTTTAAAAATGATATAGCAACTATTTTACAGCAAGAATAGGAAGTCAGTCAATTTAGATTTTCTTCTGTCTTGGTTCATCAAAACTTGTTTGCCATTTAAAATTGAAGATAATCCTCCCCCAGATTAATTCATCAGTAGCATGTATATTTAGAGGTTTGTGGTCCAATTTGCGGACATGGCTGTCATCCACATAAGACTCTAGGATGCTGTCTGGTCTTCTTCTTTTTTTTTTTTAATTTATTTATTATACATACAATACTCTGTCTGTGTGCATGTCTGCAGCCAGAAGAGGGCAGCAGACCTCTTTACAGATGGTTGTGAGCCACCATGTGGTTGCCGGGAATTGAACTCAGGACCTTTGGAAGAGCAGGCAATGCTCCTAACCACTGAGCCATCTCTCCGGCCCTGTCTGGTCTTCTTGTGCAGTACCTAATCCTGAACACTAAGCCAGGTGTACCTATGAGCTAGTCCATGCCAATACCTTTCTCGTGGTAAAATTTACGTATTATTGTTATTTGTTTAATTGTAGCATGTGTTTGTTTTAGTTTGGGGACAGCACCTGTGTGTGGGTAGACACATATCCTGGCATGTCTGCGGAGGTGAGAGGATGGTTAGTGGAGTCAGTCCTTCCGCCCTGTGGACTCTGGGTTCTTGGGCTCAGAGGCAAGTGTCGTTATCCACGGAGCCGTGCAAAATTAGCATAAAATTTAAATATTATCTCAGTGTTCTGTTGATTTACGCTTTTGCACTAATGGGATTATCCAACAGTCAAAAATCTATGCGTTACTTTCTACTTGAAGTTTATTTTCTTCTTGGTTAATTATTGCCTTTAGGGTGATCTGAAATTCTTCATTTATAATCTGCTTCTTCTTGTCAGACTGATTTCTCTGGACTAATCGCTCTTGCCCCGATTCTTCACGGTAATCATTTCACTTTATGTCCCACTGGTCTTTTTTTCTTTTTCTTTTTTTTTTTTTAGTCATATAAAAATCTCATCTCTTGAGTAAAATGATGAGAAATAATACCCGTGGCTTCTAATCTGATTTATGACCCCCTCCCCCCACAAATTTCCAAATTACAGCTAAAGCATTCTTCAATCAATTTCTTCATCTCAAAATTCCCAAACTGTTCTGCAATTACTCCAGTGACCTTGATATGAGAGAATGTGAAGGGAAGTTGATGTCTGAATCGAATGTGGTTAAAATATTTTATTTTTGAAAACTTCATGTAAATACATGGCCATGTGAACATGGCTGGGGCCCCCAGTAGAGGCACCATGGGAGATCTTCCACCGCTGGCTGCAATTCCTCTGTTCCCCAGGAGGAACAACTAGGACCCTATTCTTTCTGTCTGTGTGGAAAACAGAGAACTCAGGGTTAGCCACTCCCTCCCTGCAACAATGTACATTAGAAACAAGAGACTGGCTTACTTTTGCTCCGGTAATGATTTGACCTTGGGTACATTAAGAAGCCCAGGACACCTGATGAGTAAATTTCTAAGATGCCATTTAAACCTAACACAGTTGACCTTATATGTGGGGTATGCGCTAAACCAGTGGTTCTCAACCTGTGGGTCATGACCCATTTGGGGGTAAAACAACAACAACAACAAAAAAAAAAACCCGACCCTTTAACAGGACTTGCCGAAGACCGCCTAAAACATAACTATTCAATCATGATTCATAACAGTTGCAAAATAAGCTATGAAGTACAACGGAAATAACTTTATTATGGGGGGCATCACTGTAAGAGGAGCTGTATTAAAGCAGCATTGGGAAGGTTGACAACCACTGTGCTATACTGAAGTTGGGAGAGGTCACACCAGAGCTTTAAACGCGAGCTTGTTGTAATTATGTGTAAACCATGCTGTAATGGTAAAAGTAAAAATGCGGTGGATCCCCAAGTGGCTGCAGCGACAGAAACACTGCAGGTCCCCAAATTCAGTTTCCTCCTCACAGCCTTGCTCCGTGGTCATGATCATGGGTTCAGTATTGTTAAATTAATATTACAAGCATGTATTTGTATGCCCAGATCACAGAGTCCCCCTAAAACCAACTAGGAGGTCAAGTCCTGTATGTAAAGCAAAGAGCCTTTATTCTTACGCAGGCTTGCAAACTCGGTCTCTCTATGTGTTTAATGTATTGGAGTGATCTGAGAGTCCTGAACTCCGTTAGGGTTGGGTTTTTGTAGTAGCAAAGGTAGGGGTGAGGGATTTCTAAGGTTCAGGACCCCTGATTAGCTGACATTTGTCTAGGGGTGTCTTGGTGAAAAGCGATTGGGTGTGTGCTGGCAGGTGATCCTATCTACAATGGTTGAAATGTTAGAAATTTCCTTTGGATGGTCTGTTCCTGGGTGGTCCCTGGTGGTCTCAGTTTGTGGTCTTTCTTGCAACCAGGTATTGCCTCAGGGAAAACTACTGAGACTCAGGCCTCTATCTAGCTTGTCGTGGCTGGGTCCTACATATTCATGAGCACAGACAACAGTAGGTCCTTGGGATTCTTTATTGTTAAAAAAAAAAAACTTGCCTAGATTTATTAGATTTATTTCTAAATAAAAAGGCTTTCTTTTGCTATGATCTGCTTCATATTCTTAAATGCCATTGTCACTCGGAAAGGACTACATTGCCACCGGCCAGGTCTGCAGCTCCAGCTCTCTAAAAGCATGTGTTCCCCACCCTCCTTCTCCAGAAGGCCCTGAGCTCCTATGCAAATCCATTCCTGCCTCCAGGAGCCTGCTTTGCATCTCAGATCTCTCTGGAGGGAGGTGCCAGGATTCTCCCTGCCACACCAGTGTCTCCAGGACAACACACCTGGGACTGGAGAAGCAGAACACAGGCGTTGGCTGGGCTGCTATGTTCCACCCCCACACTGGGCTGGTTGGGATAGTCAGAGCCCCTCCCTTACAATGAGCCTCTTGTTGGAGCTGGCCTTAGAAACCAGTCACACTGAGTTCACCGATGCCACAGAGCTCTCAATCCTCCTTGACCAGGGCGGGCTTACTGCCTGTCAGATCACCTTGTTCAAGTCTCCCCAGGATGGGTGGATGGCTTGGGAAGGAGTGGTCGGTCTGTTTTATTCACCATTTCCCCACTTCTAGTTTTGCCCTTGGTACCACTGTCCAAGGGCGAGTGAGCCCTGCTGTTTTCTAGGACAGAAACTGATGGTGAACGAATGCTCGCACCCAGCTATTCAGACATCAGTTGTTGTATAGCTAAGGTACTGCTCCCGTTCAACTCTTAGAAGTCTTTAAGGGCTACATTTGTGTGTGTGTGGCCCCGAGTATGCATCAGAGGTCAGATGTCAATGATGTTTGTCTTCTTTCACTTTTCTCCTAACTTTTCAAACTATATTTATTGTTATTGTGTATGTGTGTGCTGGGGGAAGGGAGAGGTGCTCATGCCCCAGGGAGCCTGGGTGAAGGTCAGAGGATAATTGGTGTTGGTTCTCATCTTTCACCTCCAGGAATCAAACTCAGGCTGTCAGTTTGCACCGTAAATACCTTTAGCTGATGAAGCATCTTGTTGCCCATCTCCACCTTATCCTTTGAGGAAGCATCCCTCACTGGAGTCCTCCAGACTGCCCAGCCAGCAAGTCATGGACCCTTTTGTCTCTACTTCCCCAATACTCTGACTTAGGTGCAGGGTGTTCTTGGCTTTTTATGTGGGTGTTGGGGGTTGTGACTTGAATGAGAATGCCCCTTTACATTCATTTGAATGTCTGGGCACCAGTTGGCAGAACTGTTTTGGAAGGATTAGGAGGTGTGGCCTGGTTGGAGGAGGTGTGTCACTGGGTATGGGCCCAGCCCAGCTCAGTCTCTCACTCTCTCTGCCCAATGCTCGTAAATCAAATAATCAAAATCTCTCAGCTACATCTCCAGCACCATGCCTGCCTGTCTACTGCTCTGCTCCCTGCCGTGATCATAGACTCACCCTCTGAAACTGTAAGCAAGCCTCCAATTAAATATTTTCCTTTATAAATTGCCTAGGTCATGATATCTTTTCATAGCAATAGAAAAGTAACTCAGACTGGTATCCAAACTCAAGTCCTTGGACCCCAAGATGGTAGTGCTGCTGACAATATCCTGAGATGAGGGTCTAGGCCCAACTCGGGCTGGGTTCTCACCAGGTAAACAGAAGAGTTCTTACCCGCTGAACAGGAAGCTACAGTTGGCCTTCTCAGAAGCCCTGTGATGCAGGTTTCTGTTTGACGGGAAAGCCACTCTTTCCGATCTCTGCTCCTAGTTCCCAGTTAAGCCAAACCATCTGCATGAGCAAACCCCCACCTCACTGTCTGTCATATCAAATCTACTGGCATTCCTGCCCTGCTGCTGTTCTCTGCTCCCGTGAGGCAGCCCTCACTTACGGAATGTACTTACGGAATGGTCTAGTTTGGTGGTTTCACCGCACTTGCTTACAAGGTAAGGCACCAAATGCTGGGCAGAGGGGAACTTCTGTTTCCACCCAGCAAGAGCTACCCACCCTTTGGCGAGTTGGCACACACTTCCCTACAGTAACGAAGCTAGGGAAGCTAGGGTGTAGACAGGAGGGAAGGAGGAGGTACTTGTGGGGAGAAGAGGTAGGGGAGAGAGGGAACTAGCAAGCCTGAAGCACAGCGGGCGGCTCTGGTGCAGAACTGGTTTGAACTTGCCAAGGTTATTTCCCACCTGCGCTCACGGCCCTGCTCAGTTAACACCCCGTCCCCCTGTGGTGTGGCAGGTACACTTACCATTCTTTGTCATTGGTTTGAGGGACCCTATGGGTGTCTGTGCCTACTTGCGTGGGGAGCCCTGCTTCTGAAACACATTGATCCTTGACCTCCAAACAATAGACTCACCTTTCCCTGGAATCATTGCTTCTCAAGGGGTCACCTGCCATCTGGAACATCCTTCGGCCAGCCCCTCTCCATTTCTCTCCCCTCTGCCTCCAGCATCGGTGCCCTCTGAGCCTTTCTTCGCTTCCTCCATTGTTTTGGATTTTGTTTCCTCGCTGAGCCATCAGCCAGATTTCATTGTCTTCCCGAGATCCCCTCTGCATTGCTGTTCCATGGCTCTGGCCTGGTAGGCATTGCCTGCCCTGAGATCTCCCAGACCCGGAGGCCATCTCCCATTCTCACAAGCCTCACTTATGCATAGCTCTCTGATTTATTGTTTCATGTATTTTGCTTCGGCTCACATTGTGGGCCAGCACTCAGAGGGCTTTGTGGTCTGTGTCCCTTCAAACGCTTTCTTAACTATGGAGGTTCCATAGCTGGCAAAAAGAATGAGCAAGGTTTGTCCAACTTCTGTCTGAAAGATGTGGGTCAGAGAAGTAAACCATGAGCTCGAATGCCTCACCCTAAAACTTCATGTGCATTTTGCTCTCAGCCATAGTATAGTCATGATATGACTTTTAGATTCTGTTCTAAGTATGAGTGTGTATATCCATGTGTGGTTATTTGCATGTGAGACTGTAGTTCAGAAGAGGGTGCCGGATCCCTGGGAGCTGGAACTGTGGGAGCTCATTCTTTTACACACAGCCAAACCTGGCAACGAACAATAATTGCGAGAAGGGCTTTTTCCATTCCAATAATGTATCAGTCTGAATGAATTGTGCCGAGAGCCGCATGGTGGGATGATGACTGTTGCAGACTCATAAAGTTAAGACAAGTCGGCAGACACGCTTGACCACATTCCTTGTCGGATGCTGTTGGTATAAGTGAGTCAAGACCCAGATGCGGGAATTGTGAGTCATCTCCACATCACAGGGACGCATGTTGAATGCAATAACGTATCATTAATCCTAATTCCAAAATGTCACGAAGCATTTTTATGGGAGAACTGATCAGCTATACCAAAAGGGAGGAGGTATAATGGGGTGTGTGCCGTTGTGTATGAGGGCAGCTGGCACAAAAGTGGTGGCTTAGAATCTTATAGGATAAAAAAAAAATCAATAATTTAAAAAATTTCAAAATCAAGAAAAGCTTAGTTTGAAATTAAACATTGAAGTGATAGCCCGTGTTGAAATAGGAGCGGCAGGGCTGCGTCCCCGGCACCCGGCCGCCCGCATGGCTAGTTTATACCCAGAAATAATTACACGGAAACTGTATTCTTTCAAACACTGCCTGGCCCGGCTAGATCCAGTTTCTTATTGGCTAGCTCTTACATATTGTTCTAACCCATTTCTAATATTCTGTGTAGCCCATGAGCTGGCTTACCAGAGAGGATCTTAACCTGCGTCTGTCTGGAGTGGGAGCATCATGGCGACTCACTCACTCAGCTTCTTTTCCCCAGCATTCTCTCCTGTTTACTCCACCTACCTAATTTTCTGTCCTATGAGGGCCGAGGCAGTTTCTTTATTATTAGCCAATGAAAGCAACAGATAAGATACAAGACCCACCTCCATCAAGCCCGGGAGATGGCGGTCTCTGGAGAGCAAGTGCAGATGAAAAAGGCCAGGCTAAAGAAAGGTGCTTTGTACTCCTTGTGTAACACTGAACCCAGACACTGCAGGCAGGAACCGGCCCTGGGCAGGTCCTGAAAGTAAGGTTTGCCCTAGTGATGTCCCTCTCCGCCAGATTTAGACATTTCTTCAGTTTAACCACAAGCTTTCTTCAAAGATTATTGTGTTTGTGCCCCTGCGTCTTGCTGCTGGGAGTAGAGAGAGTGGCCCCCTGGAACGCCTCCTTGTGAATTGTATCACACCAGCTGAAGATCTACTGGGAAGAAACTGCATAGTGAGGTTATCTGGAGCACAAGTGTCTACCACTACCCCCTGAAGCTGTGCGAGGCTTTGTGATCTTCACCTCTGTCTAAATGGCTCTGGTAACATCCTCATGTTTCTACGTCACAGGGCCTTCATTGTGTGAGACATCAGGTGTTCCCTAATACAGAGTCAACAATAAACGCGGCATCTGCTATAATGTTCTTCAAGTTAAATCCCCCATCTTAGTTTCAAAGAGTATTTGAGAATTGTTTGGCTGCATCTTTAAAGGTTGCTGTTGGGTCTGTGATTTGTATCAGAAATAATTTATACTGAAAACTGAGTGGGGTGGTTTGGATAAAAATGGCCCCCATAGGCCCACAGGGAGTGGCACTATTATTAGGAGGTGTGGCCTTGGTGGAAGAAGTGTGTCACTGGGGGTGGGTTTGGAGGTTTCAAATGCTCAAGCCAGGCCCAGTGTCACTGTCTTTTCCTGCTGCCTGTGTATCCAGATGTAGAGCTCTCAGTTCCTTCTCCAGCACCAAGTCTGCCTGCACGCTGCCATGCTTCCCATCTTGATGATAATGGACTAAGTCTCTGAAACTGCCAGCCAGTCTCAATGCAATGTTTTCTTTTCTAAGAGTTGCCTGGTCGTGGTGTCTCTTCACGTCAATAAAGTCCTAACTATGACACTGAGAAACATAGAAACTAAAGACGTTTTGGTGCTGATTCAAGAGAAATGTAATTTGAAATATTCCATGTCCTGAACCTTTATAAGTATGTAGTAAATTGACATGCTCTCTAGGTATGCCTCACTCAGTCATGCGCTAGGGGGCTCTCTAGGTGTCCTTACATAGACACCCGCTAGGGGGCGCTATGTGTTCACCATCCAGTGAGGTCATCACAGCAGTGTGCCCTTGCTGTGCCTCCAAGACACTTACAAGGACTCAGATCCACCTACAGCCTCTGGCTCCCACTTCAGACTCACCGTGGGCTCGCTTGAGCCTAGAGAGTGGCACTCATGAAAAGGCAAAGACGGCTCTTCCTAGAGCGAGGCCACTCTCCTGCTCAGTTTTGCAGAGCACTCAGAGGTCATGAAGGTCAGAGGCTTCATTCAGTCTGTTTAGTCATTCGGCATTATGGTTGAACACCCCCACCCCCACACTCAACACATACACAGGCTCTGCCCTTACTTCTGCTCCACCCCTCTCACGGATATTGTCCCTAAAGATCTCTACCACTTCTAATTCTGCCTTGGCCTGTTTCCTAGCGACCTGCACTGACCCACCCTCTTTGGAGGAGATGGTAGAACTGGTAGCTTAAGATAGATGTGGGGGGGGGGGGGGCTGGAGAGATGGCTCAGTGGTTAAGAGCATTGCCTGCTCTTCCAAAAGTCCTGAGTTCAATTCCCCGCAACGACATGGTGGCTCACAACCATCTGTAATGAGGTCTGGTGCCCTCTTCTAGCCTGCAGACATACACACAGACAGAATATTGTATACATAATAAATAAATATTACAAAAAAAAAAGATAGATGTGGGGTGGTGGTGTATGCCCATAATCCCAGTATTTGGGAAGTTGAGGCAAGTATATTGCAAGTTCAAGGCTAGCCAGGGCAACATGAAGAGTTCTAGGCCAGCCAGTACATACTGAGACCTCATCTCAAAAAACAGAGAGGAAGAGGGGGAGGAAGGGGAAGAGACTACAAAGGGCAGGGTGTTGGTGGAGACTGCTCATTCGTTTCCCAGCTGCCCAGACCCAAAATAATCACATAGAAGTTGTTTTATTTACAACACTGCTTGGCCAATAGCTTAGGCGTCTTTCTAGCTAGCTCTTATATCTTAAATTATCCCATTTATATTATTTTATATTTTACCACAAGGCTCAGGGTTTACTGGTACCGGTGTCTGGAATCTGTCTCCTGCGGCAGCAACATGGCTTCTCTTTGACTCTACCTATTGTCTCCTCCTCTGTCTGCTTGGAATTCTCACCTTGCCCTATTCTGGGCTCCATTTTTTTTTGGGGGGGGGGATTTTTTTGAGACAGGGTTTCTCCGTAGCTTTGGGTTCCTGTCCTGGAACTAGCTCTTGTAGACCAGGCTGGCCTCGAACTCACAGAGATCCGCCTGCCTCTGCCTCCTGAGTGCTGGGATTAAAGGCGTGCGCCACCACTGCCTGGTGCACTGCCTGGTTTCTATAGCAACTATTGTGGCTACTGGGATTAAAGGTGTGTGTTACCACTGCCTGGCTGTAAGGCTGACCAGTGGGGCTGTTTTAGTCTCTGATCTTCAGGCAAAATTTAATTATTAAAATACAATTGAAATAACATTACACCACTGAGCCTTTCATCGTTATGACAAAAATCTTAGGAAATGGTGCCTGTGTGTCTTGATTTGCTCTTAGCTTCTCATTAAAGAGAATGTCAATCAAAACAAGAGGACCCGTGCCGGCCTCTACATCTAGCCTCTTTTCCTCAGCAATGATTTCTTTATCAGATGAATTAACGTCGTTTTCTTAGCGAAATCAACAGGACATTGGCACGCTCTTCTACAGTTCTTTCCAAATCACCCTGGAGAGTCAGAACTTTCGCATGCTCATTGATTTCGTTCCTTCTGCACCTCCGAGCTTCCTCGGTTGTGTTCTCCACCCAAGCCTCCTCCCCTTCTTCTTCCGCAGCATGTGGAGGAGGATGGGTTTCATTCGCTGGTGGAGCTGGGAGACCTGTGGATTTTGATTTGAATGATCTGCATGGCGACAGAGAAGGGTTAGTGTTTTCTAGTTCGGAAATGCATCGCCGTAAATAAAGTCGTGTAAATAGACTTCAAAGTGTGTGTGTGTGGGGGGGGGGGGGAATAATTGAGTAAATTATATGTTACTATGCCATGGAATTACTACACACATTAAAAACATGGGAAAGGATCATCTAGTGCCACAAGAAAACACTCTCAACATATTAGGCAAACAACGAGAGCAAACAACAATTAGAAAATCCTCAAGCCAAATAAAGGCGAGCAATCAAAGCTAATGATTAAGTAACTGCCCAATCAGCTAGGAACTGGAACGAAAGGAGCTGTAAGTGCTTGTAAGAAAGGCATGGTCGATTCCTTTCTTTTTTTTCAGACATTCTCTGCCTCTTTGGGAGGACACTGCCTGATTTAGCTTTCTTCTGTTCCTGCAGGACACTCCTGGAGAGAATCCACTTGCAGAGAGAAAAGGTCTCTGTGAGCCCACAGTTTGGTGACTCCCTTGCTCTCAAGCCTGTGGGGAGACAGCTGGGTGCAAGGTGGCCAAAGAGAAAGAGAGCAGAAGGGAGATGGGGGTCTCAACATCTATTTTTTTTAAAGATTTATTTATTTATTATGCATACAATGTGCTGCTGGCATGTATGCCCACGCACCAGAAGAGGGCACCAAATCTCATTACAGATGGTTGTGAGCCACCATGTGGTTGCTGGGAATTGAACTCAGGTCCTCTGGAAGAGCAGACAGTGCTCTTAACCTCTGAGCCATCTCTCCAGCCCCTCAACATCTATTTTAAGGGTGTGCCTCCAGGCCTGCAAGACCTCTCCCTGGGCTTTTCCTCTTAGAGGACACACCGGAAGCTTCAGGACTGCTCTACTCAGGAAGGCTAGAGCACTTGGGTTTGCTTGCTTGCTTCTATTCTTTTCCCTTTCTTTCTTCTTCTGCTGCCTCTTGCCCCTATCCTCAGCAGTGGTGGAGACAGCACCCAGGGCTTAGTTCAGGCCAGGTCAGTGCTGACTACTGGCTGT